GAGTTGTGCTCATATTGTGGACCAAGGCTTGTTTTAATTGAGGTTTCCATTAGTCTTCCTGCCTCTGTTCTCAGGGCATTATAAGAAGCATGAAGATGGCGAGTCAGTGTTCTCTTCCTTCCTTAATTACCTGAAATTGATGACTGTGTCTGAATACTGGATCCTTAAAGATATCCTTTTAAAAAGTCCTTAGGTTTTAATTTCTTTAATTCTCTGCTGGAAGTGAGTGAAATATTGGGTGTCTGTTTCGTAGATCCATAACACTATAAAATGTTAAAGGATGTGTTATGCTGAGAAAAGTACACCCATTTTATATTTAGAGGTTATATGGTCTGCCCAAAGTCACACAGGGAATCAAGAGTCTAGGTCTTGTTTCTGCTGCAACCCCTGACTCATCAAGTGTTTTTCTGTGCTTGTGCCAGAAAGGTAGGAATTGTGCTGTATGCACTGAATGTGGATACATAATCCAGCTGTGAACCTATGTGGAGGCAAAAGGAGGCCCCCATGAGGACACTGCTGTCAGCGATTGTGGTGACTACAGAGAGTATGCTATGCCCTGGTGGTACACCAGATGAATATTATGGGACTAGTAGAGTTATTTGAGGACTTTGATTTTAAAATCTGTTTAAAGGTAACTGACTTCTAAAACACGTTTCGTTGTTTTTCTTGCCCTAATTGCTAAGATAAGGGAATACAGGATTGTGTTCTACTGAGTCACCTTTTCAAAAATTTGTCACTAAGGGAGTTGAATTCACGTATCAAAAATTCATTATAATAAAATTTATTATAATCTATATATTTTTCTTTATTTTTAAATTATTTTTTATTTTGTTGAGATGGTGTCTTGCCATGTTGCCCAGGTTGGAGTGTACCATCAAGGCTTACTGCAGCCTTGAACTCCTGGGCTCAAACTATTTTCCCACCTTAGTCTCCTGGGTAGCTGAGACTACAGGGTTGTGCCACCACACCCAGCTAAGTGTATTTTATTTTTTGTAGAGTTGGGGGTCTTGCTATGCTGACTAGGCTGGTCTTGAACTCCTAAACCTCAAGTAATCCCCGCCCCCACCTTTCCTCAGCCTCCCAAAGTGTTGGGATTATAGGCATGAGTCACCATGCCCATCCCATATATAAAATAATTTTCCATAGCAAGTAATTTAGATTTGGCTTCAGAAATCGTATTTTTTTAATATTTAATATTATAAAGTATTTTTTTAATTGCAACTCAATATGCTCATTGAAGAAAAATTGGAAAATAAAGGACAAAGAAGAAAGTAAAAGTCACTCATAATCCTATCTTAAAGAGATAACCACGATTAATATGTTGCTGTTTCCTGTATATTTTGGTGTTTCCTGCAATTAACTTGTATGTAATATTTTATCACTGGTTTTTATTTAATATATTATTGATTTTCCCCTTCTATCATAAAATAAATGCAGTGTTTCATTTTTAAAAATTGCCTTCAACATTTTCATTAAAAATTTTCAAACATGCAGCAAAGTTAAAATTGATACTGAATACCCATTTCTCTATCACCTATATTCTACCATTAATATTTACCATACTTGCTTTATCACTTATCTGTTCATCTCTTTACCCCCTCTATTCATCCAGTTGATCCATCTTGTCTCTTTTTCCATACATTTCAAAGTAAATTTCAATGCAGTGTATTACATTTAACCAAGCTGTTTTGCCTTCATAATTGTTTTTGGCTTACACCAATATACAAAGGACTTTGTATTTTCTGAGCACATATAACTGAAAAACCAGGGAACCTGCAGAGAGAATTTTGTTGGGTGTAGTGAAAAAGGACATCCAGGGATTTAAAATTTGCCTTGGAATGGAGTTAATTGTATCCATTATTAGCATTTGAGGTAGCACAAAATAATCATTAAAAACAGTCATCTCCTTTTTACTTGCTGTTATGCCTAATTCAGCCTCTAGCCTGGGGACAAGGAAAATCTTTAGTGGGGCTAATACTTTTCTGTAGCTTTCCTCAGTGCTAGAGACCTCAGTGCTTGGTAGACTGGTGAACATGGATTGACTTGGCAGGAAAAGCACTTCAGAATGGTTTCCTCCAGCCTACCAGTGGGACAGTTGAGTCCTAAATGTCCTGTTGATCCAGGTCTTGCCTTCCCTGGGCAGGGGATTGAGGGACTGTTGGTCTCTTCTGAAACTTGAATCTTGTTTCTGGTGTGGCTGATTTCCCACCAGTTTACCTGGTCTTCCTATTTGAATGACAGATTTTTTCCTTTGTATTGGCAATGATTGGTGGAGAATGGGGAGTGAGGTGGTGGGATAACCTTGGTGGGCAGAGGAAACACCTCTTGCTCATATATCTCTACCACCCCCTTTAAAGTTGCCTTACGGTGCCTATCCCAACGGGTGGGTCCAGGTGTGGTGACCTCACTTTGTGTACAGTTCCCAGCATAGTACCTTGTAAATGCCCCTTGATGAGTACAATGTCCCTGTTAAGCCCTCAGAATCCCTGTAGTTGTTCTATTTTGCCAGCTAGCACCTGGTGCCTTTCACAAACTTTTCAAGAACACATACCCCTTCTTCAGACCTTATAATCTTACTGTGTTTTCAAGTGGCTGGAGGCTCTTAAGATAGAACAGCCTCTGTGTTTTCCCCCCTTTCTTTTCCCATGTTTCACATTCCAGGGCGTTCAATCTCACTGTCACATCAGTACCATTTTAAATGATAAGACTCAGCTCTGGCTGGGCGCGATGGCTCATGCCTGTAATCCCAGCACTTTGGGAGGCTGAGGCGGGTGGATCACCTGAGGCCAAGAGTCAAGACCAGTCTGACAAATATGGTGAAACCCTCCCTGTCTACTAAAAATATAAAAATTAGCCAGGTGTGGTGGCAGGCACCAGCTACTTGGGAGGCTGAGACGGGAGAGTTGCTTGAACCCAGGAGGTGGAGTTACAGAGAGCTGAGATTGTGTCACAGCACTCTAGCCTGGGTGGCAGAGTGCGACTCTGTCTCCAAAAAAAAAAACAAAAACAAAAACAAAAAACAAAGAAAACTGTGACACTGGTAAACAGCTCTGACACGTTCTTTCTCCTAAACTCTACTCACTTGTAAGCACTTTCCTAGGAGTGAGTGTCTGTGGAGCCCCAACTTTATGTGACAAGGCAAAATGATCCCGTTTCTTTTCTTTTGGCTTCATCTTTCCTTTTTTGTTCTTTTCCTGAGGGCAGTTGATTCTTGGACATCTCAGGCAGATTATCCTGTTTTTGTGTAATCCATGTTCCACGACGTTTCCTTCAGACGGTTTTAGTTCTCCATGACTGAGCTAGCCAGGACCTTAATGTGTCACAAGGACATCTGGTTCTTCTTTGCCCCCCTCCCCTTTCTCTTTTCCTTCTTTCCGGCAGAACCCCTCTGACTCTTAGAGCTGTGGTCCTCAGCTGAGGTAGATTTCTCCGTCTCTGTCCTGAGCCTCTGAGACAGTTTTCTGCGTCTGAAGACATTTTTGGTTGTTGTGCCCAGGGAGAGGTGGGGAAATGCTACAGCCAGGGATGCTGCTAAACATCTACAGGACACAGGACAGTAGCCCACAACAAAGAATTATCCTACCCAAAATGTCCATGCTGCCAAGGCTGAGAAATCCTGTTCTACTGATAGAGGGCCTCCCATCAATAGCATTCTATAACCTCCATGCCAGCATTGCGCTCATCAGTATATCTGACTTGAGTCCTGTGCGATTCAGTTTGTTGCTCTTAAGTGGAAATGGAAATGCATGTTCACCGTATTCTGCATACGATCATATTCTCCCAGCTTTGTCTCAGTTCACTTTTAAAATCTATTGTTTTACAGCCTCTTCACTCTCTTTTTTAAAAAAATCTCATCTCTCTAGATGTTTCCCAGATTTTTCACATATTATGTTTCTGAAGTTGTAGTGACCTGATCCAGATGCAGCATTCTGGCAGTTTGGTCACTGCTGCAAATGATAGAAGTGGTTTTCTTGGGGCTGGGATTGGACAGAGCATCATGACCAACCATCTGTAGATGACCACTAGGAAAGCAAGAAGCAGTTATGTCTCCTCCTTGTTAGAGGGAGTCATGTGGAAGTAAAACGTTTTCATGCCACAGATACCTGGATACAAATCTTCTGCCACTTGAGAAAATGTGACCCTGGGCCTCAGTTTTCTCAGACATAAAATGGGGTTCAGATACTTAATAAGGTTGTCAGGAGTATAAAGTGAAGAAGGGACTTTGTGTTTTACTCTACTGTAGCCATGATTTCTTTTTTTTTCTTTTGGAGACAGAGTTTCGCTCTTGTTGCCTAGGCTGAAGTGCAGTGTCGTGATCTCGGCTCACCACAACCTCCGCCTCCTGGGTTCAAGCGATTCTCCTGCCTCAGCCTCCCGAGTAGCTGGGATTACAAACATGCACCACCATGCCCGACAAATTTTGTATTTATAGTAGAGACGGGGTTTCTCCATGTTGATCAGGCTGGTCTTAAACACCTGACCTCAGGTGATCTGCCCGCCTTGGCTTCCCAAAGTTCTGGGATTACAGGCGTGAGCCACGGTGCCCAGCCGAGCCACCATACCTGGCCTATTTCTGTTGGAGAAAATAGTCAGAATTCTGGAAAATATACACATATAGTTTGAATTAATGATGGTTTTCAAATGTTCCTGTGCAGAAGAGTCCCTGGGAGCTTGTTATAAATGTAGGTCCTCAGGTTGCATCCCTAGACATTCGGTTTAGGAAGTTGGCTGAGTCTGGGAATATGTCTTTGTCATAATAACCCAGTTGGCTCTGGTGCAGGTGGTCCACAGATAAAATCCTGGTTTTATGGCAACCAGGTGAGCATGTGGGAGGGGCCCCAGCCTCCTCAGGAAGCCTCATCTCTGGCTAGTTGTTTTCTGTTTCTCTGGGCTCGCTGACAGAGAATAATCTTTCAGAGCTCTTTCAAGCAGGAAAAGGCTGGTCTTTGTTCTTGCTTTTAATGACAGAGATATCTTTTTATTGGATCGTCTCCTTGAACATTATTTTGACTCAGTGTCCTAAGAAGTCTTTTGGGAACCAGCTTAGGAATTCAGGGTAGAGAAATCTCCTTATTCATTGGCTGAGGGAATTGTGACTTGGGGTGAGGAAGGGCAGATTACAAGGGGGTGGTTTTGATTCTCAGTAGGTCTTGGATGGCTTTGGGAACCAGAAGTGAAACATGGACAGGATTCCTCCCAGCTCTAAACTGAATTCCTTTAGGAATGGGATGAAAAATGACACATTCCTTCTACTTATAAATTATTTGTGTCTAGTTTATCTCTTCTTTCATTGAATTATGCCTGGCAATCTATAATTTTGACCACCTTGTGATTTTTAAGGAGTTTCTTTCTGCAGCTGTGGTTTGCTTACTGAGTGGACCCTTGATGGCCAGACCTTGCTAGCTCCTGAAATGAATGTTTGTAGTTTCCTGACATAGGAACAAAATAAACGGCCCAGGCCTGCCCATAAATATGCATCAGTGCTTCTCTGTGCTGGAATGCTGGGTCTGCATGTGTTCTCAGAGGTCTCTTTCTGTGGGACGTGCTCTACCCACACCTTTCTGTCAGACACAGTGTCTCACTGCCAGCCACGGTTTGGCCTCTGCCGTGTGGGCTGTGAATCCAAAATATTTAAAAAGAAAATCTCGGAAGGAATTTCCCATCATGTATTTAATAAGTGAAAGTGAGAGTTAGAAATTAAAAGTCCGCTGTGGAGTGTAGTTGGAAAACGTAAACCATATGAGATGTGCCTTTAACGTTTGAACTCCTCGTTGGCAATTTTCTGCCACGAGAACTCACTTGAAAGTCCTGTCAGTTGAATTTAATGAGTTCTGAGCTGTGAATGTGAATCTTAGATGAAAAATGTGAACCCAAGAGCTAGGTTGTTCTGGGTTGCTTATTTTTCCACCCATGCGTTTAAGATGTTTGTCAAATAAGTCTTAATTTACCTGAGTTAATAATAGGAGAGTGTTCTGTCTGATGATGATGGGCCCCTGAGCCCACTGACAGGTGGACATTTCTGTGGATTTCATAAAAATAAAACTAAGTAAAGGTCATTTAATTCTTTATAAACTGATAGAAAAATAAAAGGTAAACATTGAATGGTTAAATGATAGTGAAAAATGAGAATGTGTTTAACTGAATAGATGTGTAAGTACCAATTTTATTTTATTTATTTTTATGTTTTGAGACAGAATCCCACTCTGTTTTCCAGGCTGGAGTGAAGTGGCATGATCTCAGCTCACTGCAACCTCTGCCTCCCAAGTTCAAACGATTGTGGTCCCTCAGTCTCCCAAGTAGCTGGGATTATAGGCTCATGCCACCACTCCTGCCTATTTTTTTTTTTTTTTTTTTTTTTGTATTTTTAGTAGAGACAGGGTTTCACCATGTTGGCAAGGCTGATCTTGAACTCCTGGCCTCAAGCAATCCACCCGCCTCAGCCTCCCAAAGTGCTGGGATTACAGATGTAAGCCACCATGCCTGGCCTAAGTTCCAATTTTAACTGGTGGTTTCCTTGGAATATGCTTGTTTTAGGGTTGAGAGTGAAATAAGATGGTAGTTTGGCATGTATGTGTCTTGTAAGTTTAAAGTGTGCTGATCCCTAAGACTGCTTTCAAGGCATTTACTATTCCCATGGATGTTTTTGTCTAATCACTCATAGTGTTTCCCACTTTTCATGTGTTTTGATGTATAGTTTTTGATGCATAGATTTTAAAAGTCCATGAAAATGTTACTTTAACATTCAAGAGAGAAATGAAGGTGAATGGAAAATGGAGCATTATTTTCTTGGCCCTATTTCATTATTTTGGTTGTTGCTGAAGAATGTGAGAGATTGTGATTCAGGTCAGATACTATCTTGAAATCAAATATGAGTTCCAGATACTCTTATAGCCCAAATATTTCTAAGGCTTTGCTGACAGCTTAATTATTTCAAGCAATATTTGATATGGCTGAAGACCTGTTGTCCAAAGAAATTGGGATGCCATTTTGGGTTCTTAAGCCTTGTCAGAAGTTGTGAAAATCTGCACTGACATAAATGTTAAAGTATGGTTAGGTGCGGTGGCTCGCACCTGTAATCCCAGCACTTTGGGAGGCAGAGGTGGTGGATCACAAGGTCAGGAGTTTGAGACCAACCTGACCAACATGGTGAAACCCTATCTCTGCTAAAAAGACAAAAATTAGCTGGGCGTGGTGGTGTGCACCTGTAATCCCAGCTACTAAGGAGGCTGAGACAGGAGAATCGCTTGAACCTGGGAGATGTAGGTTGCAGTGAGCTGAGATCATGCCACTGAACTCCAGCCTGGGGGATAGAGCAAGAGTCCATCTCAAAAAAAAGTTAAAATATAGGATTACCATTTCCTTTTACAAAGCGAATTATCATGGAATTCCTTGACATGGCACTTCTTCATCTGTGGCTTTGAATTACGATACAATTTTGCAAAATGGAACAATTTTCCCAGTTTTCCAGGATGGAGTCCAGTTTCTCCTGTGATGGTGTCTGATCTATAGATAGCCACTTCTTTTTCTCCTTCAGATGTTTTTCTAAAAGGGTGGGACTCACAAGTATAAGGTTAGCAAATAAAAACAAGGAAGAGGTGACATGGTGGTCTTCAGGGCTGTTGAGAGTTTTCATAAACAGGCTGCCGCTGGCTTTCTTTTAAAGCTTAGAGTAAACCTCAGTGGCTTTAACTCATGTCCATTGAATGGTGTAACCTCCTAAGTATCAGTGTATAAGGAATATAGGATTTTTCTTTTAAACATTGGCTGAAGCCTGAAGCCCCTGAAATTTCCCCTGCCCCCTGCTACTTTTAGCATTGGCCAAAATATGATGCCATAGCAGAATCTGGAGACAGCTGGGAAACTAGCAATTGCATAAGCATGTGAAACTTTTTTAGATGTGCACTGAGATGTTAGCAAGCCTTAAAATGTAAGACACCTTTAGAATACAGTATAGTAATCTCTCTCTGTGTACGTTTATCTGTATGTTATATATACAGTTCTAAATTTACTCAAACATGTTTAAATATAGTAAACTGTTTTAATGTAAAACTATCCTTAAAACATTCAGAGAGTTGTCTCTTGAAGCGTTTCATCTGTGGACTTTGCCAATAGCACTTAACTAACTACCTAGTGAACGCTGAGACTTCGGTGAAGTTAGAGTGCCGGTGATGTCCTGAGTCCGTATTTGATTCACCAGTAAGGACAAATGCACACGCCCCTGGCTTAGATTAGATTCAGAAGATCTCCTGCTGTGCTTTGTGAGTTATTCTAGTATCCTAGGTAAATAATTCCTAAGATAAATCTATGTATTTCTTTTTACTTATTTGGTTTGGGAAATCATTGACAGGTGAATGATTTTATAAGCAATTTAATGAGTTGCCAAATACAGCAACTTTGCAAGAGACTTAAAGCTTACAAACTTGACATTGTTTTAGCTTTCATTTGCACCAAAGGTGGGTTACCCCTTGACATTATTATATAACACTGAGATACAGGAGGATTCAAGTTCTTGGTCTTAGGGCTAAAGGCAATAGTTTATGGTTCAGTAACAGGATGTTGTTCCACAATTAATATAATTATTAATAGGTTTCAGAAACATGAAAAGTGTTTGGGATCTGATTCTCAGTGACAGTAGCAGAATTGAAAATCATAATTATTGTGGCTATAAATATGAGAACATAATGTGCATGTGTGTGTGTGAGTAAAGATTGCAATGGAATATGCAATCATGAAAATAGTTGTGTTTGGGCAATGGGATTTTTAATACACTCTTTGTAATTGTTGTTTAATATGGCTTAAGTTTCTTTCTTTCTTTCTTTTTTTTTTTTTTTTGAGATGGAGTTTCGTTCTTTTTGCACAGGCTGGAGTGCAATGGCACAGTCTGGGCTCACTGGAACCTCTGCCTCCCGGGTTCAAGCAATTCTCTTGCCTCAGCCTCCCCAGTAGCTGGGATTACAGGCGCCTACCACCATGCCTGGCTAATTTTTTTTTTTTTTTTTTGTATTTTTAGTAGGGACGGGGTTTCACCATGTTGGCCAGGCTGGTCTTGAATGCCTGACCTCAGGTGATCCGCCTACCTTGGCCTCCCAAAGTGCTGGGATTACAGGTATGAGCCACCGCACCCAGCCAGTATGGTTCTAATTTTAAGGAACAAGTTAATTATTTCTTTTAAGCCTTTAGAAGAAAAAGAGTTGGATGGAAAAAAATACCTATAAATACTGGATGTTTATATATATATATTTTTTAGTTTTATGTAACATTTCTTTATAAGAGGGCAGTACACCTGAATACCCATTTGTAAGATGTGATTGTACAGTTATTTCCCCCTGAAATATCTCTTGAACATGGAGAAGCACATCCCCTTCTCAGTTTTTATTGTTCCTTCCACTGCATCCTCACCCTTCCGTGTTCCTGATGTTGGAGGTACACTGAACAACATGTGGCAGCCCAAGCCTTTCAGATTGTCATCTGGAACACGCAGAACATATTCCAGTGGATGGGCCAGCATCGGCAGGGTTTTGGGATGGATGAAGATAGAATCAAGGCCATTCATTATAAAATGGAGTGATGATTAAAGTAGAGGGGATTACATATTTAGTTTTAGTGCCTAAATGTCTCCTCCTCTGCAATTAACTTTCAGTCCATCAGCAAGTCCTGTGGTTCTATGTCCAAATATATTCTCAAATCCAACCACTTTACTTTTCTCCTTCTCTACTTTGTCTACCCTAGTTCTTGCCATCATTGATTCATGCCCACATATCTACAGCAACACCCTTAGCAACCATGCCGTACATACAATGTTATCTCCACATAGCAGCCAGAGTGACCTTTGTACAGGGTAAGCCAGGTTTGGTAGTTCTTTTTTTTTTTTTTTTTTTTTTTCAAAATCCTTTTCAGTACTCACCTTGGTCTACAGGACTCTCTCTTTGTGTTTAGTCTTCTGCCAACCTGTCTTTTCCACCTGCCTCTTAGTTGACAAGCACCAGCCACACTGCCTCTGTCTTTGTCCCTTTAGCTCTCCA